CCATATTCCATCAAAATACATCTATATTCAGTGTCATCCATTTTTCTAATGCAATGGATCTCAATACAGAAATCCTATGAGTTGAGTATTTGTTTATAGCATGCTGTTATACAAGAGTCACATACATCTCAAAAACAGATGCTTCTGTAAGGAGGCCAGCAGCATGAACACACATTCATTATGAATTACTACGCACGCAGAAAGATCAGAGCTGAACACATATACCCATTATAAAAGGAAAATAGCAGACAGTCATCTTTCCCTTTGCTAATGGCCCATGTTGGGTTATTTTCTTTTTAATTTCTACTGTAACATGATGGAAAGACATTATCACCGAATAAAGTTCGTTATATAGCAAAAAAAACATTATAGTAAAAATGTTTTCACATAGCAAAAAAGCCAAAACCAGTATAACCCCCTCAAAAAGAGATACTTGCAGCATTGGTTGCTTAGCACTGGCAGTTCTGCTGCACAACAGCATTCCACAAAATCTGCCACCTTTCTGTCTGCACAAAGTACAAAATTCACATGCTAGAATTGTCTTCCTATTAGACTACAGACTCACCAATCTTCAGATGAAAGTAAAACCCAAGGAAACAAGATGTGCTATTTTAAGACTGACGAATAACATCTGAAAATATCTGAATGATATTAAAGAAAAGTTAATATTTTCCATTCTTTATACACTATATTTAATCAATAGGTCATACTAAACACAAGTCATTAAAAAGCTACACAAGCACTCATATTAAATAGCTGATAGAAGTGATTTACAGTAACACTGATATTCAGTGAAGATCTATTTCTAGATATAGCAACATGTAAGTCTCTTACCTGAATTATGCAGCTTGTTCCGCTGAGTCAATGATTACTGTAATTTATAGTCAATTGACAACATGCAAAGTAGCTTATGGTTGGATCTGCTCATTTCTGGTTCGGCTTTTCCACCCACATCATACCTATAATGGCAACAAATCCTGACAGTGATGACTAGAAATTTTAAAACTCTATTGAACACAACTGGATTACCTCAGAAAGTAATCAGGAATGTTTTTTGTTTACTTCCGATTTGCATTCTCTTGCAGTTTGCTAAGGTGGTAATTTCCTTTATTGGAATGTTGTACTTTAACGTCTACATATAACAATCAACTAGAATTTAGTTAAGAATTTGCCATTACAGTGAACGCAGAAATCAATATTTGAATAAGAGTATGGATTAAATTGATATTAGATTGCTATGACCAGGTCACAAGATCTTCAACTACTTTGAAGCTATGCGCTCCTATCCCAAAACTCAATAATGAGCCCAAGTCTTATCCCTTATTCCTTCTTTTTCACACCCCTTGGGGAGAAGAAACTGCTCAGATACCCTCTTCAGGGTTAGAAGGGAAGAGGTGCATTCCTGATGGTTTCAGAGCAGTGTGCTGTACTGCCCTTTGTGACTAGTCTCCAGGCATAAGCCAGGAATCGAAAAGACTCAGTTGTTTTGCAACACCTTTGCCTACAGCTTTTTCAAGCTGATATTACTGCATATTAACAATGATAAACAAGCTACTGGTACTTCTACCAAGTACATGAGTTTTATACTAGTACCAGAATTACATTTTAGCTGGAATGTGAATGCATAAAAAAGCACTTTTTCATAGCCTCCATTTTAAATACAGAAAGTCAGCATTTATTTAGAAGGAATTTGGGATGGACTTATCTCCAAAATAGAGGTGGGGACACACAGAGTCAACTTAATATCCTCATATTTAATCTTCACTATGCCTACTTTAATGTGGGAGAATTTCCCTTAATCTTAAGCAGTATAAAACTTTCTAATAGGCCTTTAATAAAAGTGCTTACAGAAGTCTTCAAGGAAAAAAATGAAAACATGGGGCAACCAGCAGCAAGACAAATGTTTTAAAACTTTGCTTAAACTTAGAATCCAAGTATGGGGCAATCGGTCTATATAGAATCTCTATAGCTCTATATATTCCTCACTATATACTTGTCCAGGGAATAGGACACAACTTTAAAAGCTGAACAACTACTAGAACTGGTAGACAGGCATGCATAAAACAAACAATTTGTATGCTTCTTCTTTAGGGGATCCTAGGTGCATCACTATCATAACTGATTCTTGACTCATCAGGTTGGATGTTGAGTACAGTAATTGAACCCAAGTGTGGATTTCTTGTCCTGTCAATCCACTTTCTATTGGTTTTTTATTTAAAAGAAGAATCCTGTGCCCCCATCAATTTAAGACATCCGTTATAAATTCTGTTCAAATTAATTCTTTTTTTGTGCAAGAAGCTTTAGTTTGAGTTACTGCAAATGTTGTTATAGGGCAACTATGTTTCCATCCCTGGTGTGAAAAAATTACCTGTACAGGTACAATCCCTTTATTTGCCACATCCATCCAGTTCCCCAGGCTGTTGATTAAGAAAGCCAAGACTGCACTTGGCATTCCCAACCAAGAGCACTGTTCTATATACCATTTCCCTTGACGCTGGAACTGAAAACTGTTGTAAGACAATTCGCTAAATTTGAGTCAGGGATTACAAACTGCTTTTTTCAATCAGCAGTTTGGTGAGCCATTCTTTCCCTTACCCGAGCACTGCACACCACTGCATATTTCTACTCTGAAGCATTTTCAGAGAAATGCATTTATATATGGAATTTACATGCAGAATACTGAAGGAGAGAAATGATGACATGGATATCGCACATCCTTTTTTCGAAAATCAGTTTTATCTTTAATTGTTACATTCCAAAGGGGATATATGAAAGTCAGTTATCTAGTAATGTATACCTCTTAGAGAGATGAGTATAGAATCACAGATTAAAAAAAAAAAAAACAAAAAAAAAAAACCTAATCCCCAGGATGACAGATGCTAAAGAAAGTATGTGCCTTATACCATCAGTGCACACAGATGCAGAAAGATTTTTTTATAATAAATATTTCATCACATACTAACTCCTGAGACTTTACCCATGAAAAGAAAGGGAGCAGATTAAGAGTTATCTCACATAACAACATATTAAGCTATCAGAGCAAAACAGAACAAAATGCCAACACTGTCTTAATATGCACTGCATTGGAGTTTATCTACATCACAGTACTTAAGTATGCAGCTCAAAGAGTCAGTGTCCGTTTAAGTTTTGCCTCAAATCTGCAAACATCACTTAATGTATAGCATCTTCAAAGCACGAGTGCAAGAAATCAAATGATGAACACAGCCAATCAGGATTTCATTCTCTGATATGAAAACCGCACTGCAAGACTTAGATTTCTAGTACCTAGCATTAGTCAGCAGAAAATCCAAGTATATTTACAAAAGATCTTTACATAAAGTGATTAGTGAGTTTTAAGTAATTACTGTGTTCCCAGGTACTTTTTGATCACATAAGTAGTAAAGGGAAAGATATAGCTTAAAATTACCATAAAGTCACAACTCTAAATAAGGTACCACAGTGACAACCCAAGATACCTCACGGTTTTCTGTAATTGTTTTTTAAGCTTTGTTAGTAAAAGCCATTTGAAAAATGTAAAGATTTTTAGCTTTTGGTTAACTAAATTTATTTTAATAGTTTCCACTCCAGTACATTCTTTCAAAGTTCAAATACTTCTTTCTATCAGTAAGGAATCATTAGAGAGAACCCCTTTGAAGTGGTAGGATCAGGAAGACGTAAGTCAGCTCTTTCAATTAGTCCTTCCTTGGAGTTACTACTGAGACAATTAACTCAGCACAACATGACGGTCAAAGACAGATTTGCGTTGCTCTTGGACCTGTAACTTCCAACGCTGTTGGGCATACTCCACTTTGTTCAAGACGTTGGCACGGCTCCGAGAACGAGCCAGCACATCATGGGCATTTGCAAAAGGCTGGTGATCCTGAAACGGCAAACGAGCTCCCCCCCCCCCCCCCCCCCCAGGCAAAACAAGCTATTTAACCAGCTCGTCAGCCAATGTGACAACACAGGTGTTTGATAGTTAGAACTATACTTCAATTTTTCATTCAAAGTAACTTCCACAGGTTTGCCAAGTAGACCAAACTTCACTACATAGTCAAACAATTATTTGCTGCCTACAGTTGCTGCCTAGAGATGCCTAGAGCTTTGCATCCATTAGTAGCTGTTGGGGTAGAAGCTTAGAACAGACCCAGATATCGGGACCCTCCCATTCATCATCAGGAATGCGCTTCACTGTAAAACTGAATTAAAGAGTTGGTGCTCTGCCAGCGCTCAGCCTTTTACCGTAAGGCAGCCTGGGATGTTCACACAAAGATTCTATATAAAACCAACACACACTGATGTTTACCAAACTAAACCCATTGTACTAAGCTGTCTAAAAGCAAAGTGTAAATACAGCTGTTTAAGTGGCAAAGAGCTCAACAATAACCAAGTGCTTGTTTAATATTTACTCTGTTTGTTTCCTAACAATACCTGCAAAGCTGTATTTTCTTCTAATAAATAAATCTAAGTCAAAAACAGTGAAAGTTGGAATGGAACCTCTTATGTGGTTGTTAAATTGCTTTCGACAAAGTCGTGTTTTTAAAGCTAATGTCAGAAAGCATCATGCATGCAACGTATAGCGCAAATGATAAAAAGAGAACATATGTCCTGTATTAAGTAAGTGTTTATCCTTTGTGCTATGTCTACACTTCATCTTCCTTTTTATTCCCAAAAGCTTTTAAAAGTGTTTACATTAATGGATAATTTATTTGTGACATGCTGCTGTGTAGAATGGCTCAATTATAAGTCTCAGTAGCACACAAATTGTCATTCATGATATCTACTGGAGTGATGCTGACAAGTCCCAAAGACACACATGGGCCTCCATGGGCTAAGAAATGGGCTAATATAGAACAAGAGACAACCCCTGACCCAAAGAGTTGTAATCTCACTGTAAAAAGATTATACATCTGGCTATACCTAGAATGGGAAGTTAACAG